AGGGCTACTTGCGCCTACGTTCCAAAACTGGGATGATGACGGTATACGTGATGCTGGTATCCTGCATACAAACATGTTTCTAAAGCACTTCAATCTTACCTCATCCTCAAGTGTACCCCAAACTCTCGGGTACGGGTACATCTCCTTCGGTTTCTCTAATCTAAAACGGTAACCCTTCCGTTTACTCAAATATGTCGGCTACCTTAAGTAAATTTAGGTCTGGAGGGGCCCTCGCTCGCTTCCCGGGCCACCAGCCGAAGCTATATGGTGGCGGCAAACCTATTGGGGAAAGCACGCACGGTCCACGAGTTAGGGCTTAGCCAGCCATAAAATGCCAAAACTAGGTAGCTATCTCAAATACATACAACCGAAAAATTGTACTACTCAAAGCGCCTTCCTATGCGTTTACGATACCTGTACGCATCTCCATACGACGTACAAAGAAAAATGACCCATTGCAAGGCCAAACCAAAAGGTCCATGGCTAAAGGAAGACGACCGAAAACTGTCCCACCGTCTCCCCTTCTGCTATAGATAGCCTTTATGGAAGACGACCGAAAACTGTCCTATTGCCACCCTCTGCTGTCGGTTGTCGCTATGAAAGACGACCGAAAGCTGCTCTACTGCCTCTCCTCCTGCTGTCGGTAGTCGCCAAGTGACCAAAAGACGATCAGAAGACTACCGAAATCTGCCCTCCATCTCCAACTCCCCTTGAGGCTGTCGGAAACCTCCATGCATAGGGAGAGCGAAACTATTCAGTTTCCCATCTAACTCGAGATTGTCCAACAACCTCTATCCCCCGGGAAAGCGATAAGCCATAAAACTGTCCCATAGTTTTACGCAATAAATTTTGAGACTGTCCGACAGCCTCTACCACTACTGATACCTGACACTGACCTTCAGTTTCTCGCTTCGAGATTGTCCAACAACCTCTATGCACCAGCAAAGCGATATGCCATAAAACCATCTAACAGTTTTTCACACCAAATTCTGAGACTGTCCGACAGTCTCTAACACTTCTGGTGCACGAAACTGTCCCACAGTTTCTCGCTTCGAGATTGTCCAACAACCTCTAAGCACCGGCAAAGCGATATGCCATGCATAAAACCGTCTAACAGTTTTACGCCCCAAATTCTGAGACTGTCCGACAGTCTCTAACACTTCTGGTACACGAAACTGTCCAACAGTTTTTCGCTTCGAGATTGTCCAACAACCTCTAACCAGGGGAAGCGATATGCCATAAAACTGTCCAACAGTTTTACGCACCAAATTCTGAGACTGTCCGACAGTCCCTACCACCCCTGATAGTACACGAAACTGTCCAACAGTTTCTCGCTTCGAGACTGTCCGACAATCTCAGAGAAGCTCCGCCAACACCAAAAGGAAACTAACAAGAAATTGTCCCACAGTCTTTCCCCGAAATAGGCATCAGGTTGTTCCACTATCAGCCCGATGCCAAACCGTTGATTATCCGACAATCTAGCAAACGCAGGGCCAAACGGAAAAAATGACCAAAATTTCACAAACTTTTCCTTCCGAGGAAACGAGCCATCAACGCTTAAAACAAACGAAAAGGGGGAAAATACGAGACTGTAAAGACGTGTGAAACGCCCCGAGGTACACACACGTGATTCCGGGGCGGACACACGCAAAAATAAGGTCGTAAAATGACGGAGGCAAAACTCCTACCCACGGCGTCTCTGCGTTCCGTGCCGTGACTCCCTGCGGGAACGGCCAGTGCCGACGAGAGAATCTTCGGGATGCCTGGTCGCTCTGTCTGGTGGCAGGGGTTGCGCGAATTGCTGCAGCGCTACCGCCGGGTCACACTCCCGTTCCGCCCGGGGCGGCAAGACGCTCCGCCCGGGGCGGGAAATCCCTCTCGCTGACCGGGCTGTACACGGCCGCTGGCAGGCTTGCATCCACGGGCTGGTTTCCACTCGTGGTCTGCGTTGTACTCGCGTTTGAGGTCTCCACAGTGTTCCTCCGGGAGTCTGCCTGTGAAATAGAAAACACGTTACCCAGAGGAAGAGGGATAGCACACGTACTTATCTGCCGAGGCATGCACGTGCGCTGCCACGTCGACAAATATTTATCTAGCCTGCGCTCCGAAATACCACCAAACAAACCTGTTTCCTCGAGACACTACCACAACAGTACCTTCTAAACCAGGAAACCAACGCGGGAATTCTGCATGGAACCAGAATAATGCTGCCACCGCCGGAATCACAGAAAATGGCCGGATCAACCGGAGCTAAACCACACGCTACCTTCGCTGGGGCTGGCTTCACAAAACTGATGAAGTATGAGGGGTTGGTCACATGGCCTGACATCTCGCTCAACAAGAGTCTCGCGAGATGTCAGTCCATTGTGACGTAAGTGGGAATAATCCTGCGCTTGACCCGTATCATGGGTCATTGACATCTCGTGACCCAAAAGCCACCAATGAGCAATGACCAACCCAAGACTCGGATATTGTCGAAATATTTCTGAATGTAGTATAATGCATTGCATCTCTAAAGACCGTGGCACATTTTAAAGCCTTTTCTATAAACATAATTTATAAATTTTTTTGCTGAACACAAAATTATTTTAGAAACATCCCCATCTTGTCAGTGCGCTCTTCCAACATGGCGGCGATTTGGTTGAATGTAATTTTACTGGTGCTGTTTGCCCTTTTTGATGTCTGGTACTTCGTCAATGGTTTCGTAACGTGGGCCGTAGCAAGGATACAGAAAACAATAAAGAGGAAAGGCGTATTGGAGGAAGTAGTTACCTATGGTAAGCTCGATTTCTCAATTTACACCCATTTATTCATGCCCCTTCCTCCCCATAACCTTTGTTGATAAGGTCAGATTTAAATGGTGAACGAAGATTTCTTGCTTTCATCCTTGATGCGGATTTCTCAAAAGCGCTGTCATTTATTGTATTAACAAAAATTCCTGTAGCTTTGATGAATGAAACGGGTTTTCTCAATCCATCATGATAACAGGTGGCATACACATAACATTGTGGACGTTAATGTAGACCATAGCCCCGCCCACCTCCGTCAAGACGTAGAACTTCAAAATGAAACCATAAAAATGCAAATATTTGCGTTTGACAGAATCATGAGGTGTAAACTTTTGTTATTCACAATATTATCAAATTGTCAAAGATGTCACATTCCCATAATCGATTACTTACAACAAATCAATGGTGCAAAGCATTATGGACCTCTCTCGCCCACCTCCATCAAAAGTTCAAAACATAGAAAATGCAAGTACAATGTATTTGATGGACATGGAGGGACGAGGCTCTCCATTGGTCGAGCTGATAATTACCATTCTCTCTTTGGTCGAACTACTAGTACTAATTGCCATCCTCTCATTGGTTGAACTGCTAATTGTGATGGACATTCAGGGTGGATAATTCTTTCACTTCTTTCCCAGGCCTGGTGACCACCACTGATATGGATTTCATGTGCCACAAGAACAACGCTCGCTTCACTCGGAAGTGTGACTTCGGCAGGTTCCAGTTGTACGAGTCGACAGGACTCTGGGATAACGTAGTGAAGCTGGGAGGCTCCATGGTACTGGGAGCCTCTACCATCCGCTTCCGCAGGTCACTACAGTTCCTGGAGCCTTTCCGAGTCAGATCTAAGGCAAGAATTGTGAACATTGTCAATTTGTCATGTATACCTTTGCAGAAGGAA